TCTCTCTCTCTCTCTCTCTCTCTCTCTCTCTCTCTCTCTCTCTCTCTGTGTGTGTGTGTGTGTTTCTGTCACTCTCTGACTGTCTCCGTGTCTCCCTCTCCCTACCTCTTTCTTGTCTCTCCTCTCTAACTACAGTGCAGAACTTCTTCATGTCCAGGGCTTTGGACTGACTGAAGCTGCAGCCACTTAATCAAGACATGAAATCACCCAAGCTGACAGAGGGCAAAGTTACAGAGGGAGAAAGACCCACCTGTTGCTGAAGCTGCCACCTTCTGTCTCCCAACTCCTGCCAGGGTCATAGAAGGCTGAGCTCTGATCCTTGGTCTCCTCACAGGCTTCTAGACCCTGAGTTGTGGCCCACAGCCGAGAGCAGGAAGTCAGCCTGAACTCTAACTCAGCAGAGAGGGCTCCGCCCAAATGGGGAAAAGAGAAGCGAAAGTAATTCTCTACTCTCAAATGTGCTCTGCCATACTGTCCCTTCCTTCTTTCCTGAAATGTGGAAGCAGTGGGGAGCAGAAAGAGGGAACTAGAAGATTACAAAGGGGCACACTAGGGACATGCAGAGCCAGTTTCCAGGAGTGCCTTATTTATACAAAGATAAAACAAACAAACAAACAAACGAAAAAACAGCAACCCAAAAGCAACAACAACAAAACTCCCCTCAAATTCAAACAATCCTCAGTCACCTCTGTGTCTAGGGAGCAGTTTAACCAGGGTTGGCTGTATAACCCCTCCTTTTTTTGTCTTGTCCCTGACTGAAGTGGCTTGGGTGGGAGAGAGATGGGGGAGGAGGGCCAAACACTTTCAGGTTCTCTCTCAGGCTAGCAGCAAAATCCAGAGCTGATCCCGACCAAGAGAAGCTTTCCCTCAGACCTCAGGGGAAGTGGGGCTGTAGGGGGGAAACTCCCCAGCTTTATAGATACTCTGGGTCAGAGCACTGACTGAGGAGTTGTCATCCCAGCCTAGAACTCAGGGATGGAAACTGTACTGTGATGCTCCTTTACTCTTTTGGCTCTTTTGGGCGGTTTGCCAGTCAGATCCCAAATAAATCACACATGGAGGCTTATTCTTAGTTACAAATGCTTGTCCTTGGCTTGGTTTGTTGCTTCTCAGTTTTTCCTTAATTTATCTAATCTACCTTTAGTCTCTGGGATTTTCCTCTTCTCTTCTGCATATCTTGCTTCCCTTCTTACTCCGTGGCTGGCTCAGTGGCTGGGTGTCTAGTCCCTGCTGTCCACCTCTCCATCTCTTTCCCCTTTCTTTCCTCTCCTTTCTCCTCCTATTTATACCCTCTGTCTACCAGCCCTTCCTATCCTTGCTCCTGTCTTGCTATGGGCCGTTCAACTCTTTATTAGCACAATCAGGTGCTTTAGACAGGCGCAGTAACACAACTTCACAGAGTTAAACAAATGCAACATAAACAAAAGTCACACACTCTAAAATAATATTCCCCAAAAGGAAGTCCTGGGCAATTCCATCATCATTATGCAATTAGTCTCAGGACCCAGTGGACACTGGGTAGGAATATCTGAGCTCTTAGAGACTGTGTTGAGACTGAGTGAATTCACTGAACAGCCAGACTTCTGCCTAGAATCTTCTGGAGTAACATAAGGAATGTGAAACTTTGGATGTCACAAGCTTTGAACTGTGTGAGATGCTGGGGAGATAGAGGAGGAAACATGAATATTTCTAACGAGAAGTGTGAACGGAAAGAGATCCGAAGGCAGTGAAGGAGAAAGTCAAGGACAGGGGCACACAGGAGATCCATCTGCCATCTTCTGAATACCTGAGGACCATCCATGAGAAACACATGAAGAAACCTAGGGTTCTGATAATGCTCAGGAGGAGGTGGGATGCTGGACCAGGGCCTCATGTCCGGGGAGTCCCTACCTCTAGTCTGCATCATCTCTCATAGCCCTTCAGTTTAGCTTCTGTGTCATCAAGAGGACAAGGACAGAGATTCCCTGTGTCCTGGGTACAGATGGGAGACTCAGAGAGTCTGCATCCCATTGACATCACAGCTGCCTTTCCTTTACATCCCGTGCCACAGAGGCTGGCCATGTGCATAGCACACAGCAAGGAAAGAGCTGGTGAACTTGCTCCTCCCCTTTCTTTTCTTCATTATTATTTTATTTACCTTTTTCATTTCTGTGCATTGGTGTTTTGCCAGTACTTATGTCTATATGAAAGTGTCAGATCCACTGGAACTGGAGTTACAGTCAGCTGTGAGCTGCCATGTGAGTACTGGGTATTGAACCCCGGTCCTGGAATATCACACAGTGTTCCTACCAAGTGATTCATCATCACTGTCCTAACCGCTGAACCATCATCACTGTCCTAACCGCTGAACCATCATCACTGTCCTAACCGCTGAGCCATCATCATTGTCCTAACCACTGAGCCATCATCACTACCCTAACCACTGAGCCATCATCACTATCAGAGGGCAGTAGCCACTTTCTGGACAGATGGTCTCCAGCAAGCTCTACACCACCCCCTAGTGGTTGTTACAAGTAGAAGTCTCCTTAGACCTGGATTCTACTGCCATTGATGGGAACCAAAAATCCTTTTCACGAGCTGTGGAAACACTTCGGACTCTTGATAGACGTTCTGAGTTATTGCATAATCTTAATATTTGACAATCCATGAGCATAAATGAGCTTTTTGCCTATACAGAAACTCTTGGTTCAAATTTTCAGGGAGTTGCAGTGAAACTGGCTCTTCCACACCTCCTGGAAAATCCCATCTTCCTTCCCAGAGAGCTACATTCAGCTTGCGAGCGCCAGGGAGGCCCTATCACACTAGAAGTCAAGTCATTTTGTCCCTCACCCTGAAGTCTTATGGGGGTGACCTGGAGTCTCCTCTAAGCACATAGTTCTCATTGGATCATAATTTAAAACACTTCAGAGTATTAAACAGTTCCAACAATAGATTTGGTGACATTTGAAGAGAATAATTAGATGAAAGAAGTGTTTCATGTGAGACCATCAGAAAGTACTCTGAATCCCTACTTCAGTACACTCCTGCCTCCCTTTGAATGATCTTTACCGTCTTTTTTCCCCTTGAGTCCACACAGCTCTCTCCAAAGAGAATAGAAACGCAAAGAGAATGGAGACATTTTATTGATAGTTTTTGGCTCCTTCGTCCATGAATCCTCCCCATGAAGTGTGGAGCCATGCTGAATGAAGGACCTTGGGTACCCATGGTAGCTTCCATGCGAAGCTGTAGTGACAACAGTTCAGATGGAGTTCTACACATGGATACCAGCCATGCCCTTGACTTTCTCTTTCTGAAACTTCTTTTTCATTCTCATGAGATTCTGTTTGTTCTGGGTTTTGCTTGTTTGCTTGTTTTATGTTTTTTTGTTTTTCCAGATTCTACACACTAGAAAGTCTCCTACCGAAGTTCAGATTGTCCCTAACAAGACTGTGACTGCTCTCAAAATCAGGCAATAGGAAGCAGGAGGTTGATTCTTGGTCAGCCGACTCACAAGTTCTGACCTCTCTACCCAATCCAGTCTGAGTTCTTCCTTCTGCAGAGGTCTCAGACTGTTTGGGTTTTCACATAGCATCCAAAATCACTACCCAAGTAACAGACTAGTCTCAAGTGCTTCTTCAGGAACAAGAAACCAAGGTTTCCTTATTCCTCACTGAACACAGCATAGGAATCCTGGTTATTCCCACATCCAGCCTGGTTCTGGAGACCAGACAAAGCACTCTGAGCTGCTTTACCCACTCGGGACACAAGTGCCTCTACCCAGCAGCAGCAGATGTGAAGCAAGCCTTTAGGAGGTGAGACACAGCTCAGAACCACACACTCTTGTGCTTGCACACTCACAGGAATGAGTCAGTTTCAGTAAAGTAGGGAACACGCCTGTGGAAAAGTCACAGCTGGCTCTAGACTTTGAACTGGAGTCAGTACAGGCCATCTTTACAGAATTGATGTAGATGTTGCACAAAGCCTGAGAATTCCTCTTCTTTGCTGAAGGAGACGGAGTGATAGCATCCGTCTGGTCCTTGTTTGAGACACTGACTAAGTAGTCTTCACTTTCCAGGGGATTCAGGTTACAGTCATTGTTAGGGTCCTTAGAGAAGTCCCACAAAAAACCCCACCATCCATGTAAGCAATCAGCAAGAGCATTGATTATCTCTAGAGTAAGAGTTCCAGCATGTCTGGGGCCACACATCTGACACAAAAAATATTTGATGATCTCAAGAGTAGCTCACAGGCTCCTTTTATACACAGCTAAAGGAATTCTCGAAGCAGTTAGGTCATCCTGTCTGGGATTGGCTTATGTGCATGACAATCGTATTAGTACTTTGTTAATTGGTAAGAACTAGCAGGGGCTGGCTAGGGCTTTATTTTTCCATTTTTGGGGAAATCTAGACAAATCCCAGGCTCTGTCCTTATGTGGTTATTGCCTTGAGATACTGTAGGGGCTGGGTCAAGCCTGGTATGGTCTATCTCCTTGTCCTTGTTGTCGGGGGCATTGGTGATTGATTGCCCTTTGTTCATGGCTTGCTCAGAAACTGTTTGTTCAGTTTCAAGAGGCAGGAACTGAGATCTAGTTCTAAACTGATTTAATAGGAGTTTGTCAGGTTATTTCCATGACCTTCTCATTCTCCCCTTGAGTACTGCATCATCTCAAATCCTGAAGATGTTTGCTCACAGACTTGTATTGTTATTTTAAAACCATCAGTGAGACTATGGAGATACATTCTTTGATAAACCTGACCAAGTCTTTATTATACATTGTCCACCGGTTAGAGCCAACAGTAAGAGGATTAAGGGCCCGGCTAGGGTTGGTAGGAGGGTAGTTAACCATGGTAAACCGCTAAATGGTGATTCATAACATCCTTTATTTTGTTGTCTTTCTCATTGTCTGTCTTGCAGTCACTTCTAAGTAGTACCATGGGATCCTTAATAACTCCAGAATTGTTAACATAGAAACAGCATTGGTCTCCTAAGGACCTGCATAGGCCCACTTGTTGAAGGAACATTAGGTCAAGGCTCCTTCTGTTTTGGAGAAGTACTTCAGCTAGAGAGGAGAGTGATTCTTCCAAATGTGCAATAGATTTTTCTAGGGCAGCAACATCTGTATCTATTACCATTCTCAAGGCCCTGTAATTTTGTTTCTTCTAATACCAAAGCTGAAGTTCTGGTACCTATGGCCCCAGCTATGTGGCTCCCTAGGAGGGTGGGTACAAGACAGTTGTAATAACTTCTCATTTTTTTTCTCTTCCAGTCATGTTTTTAATTGGCGAAAGATTTTATCATCAGGGTAGTTAACTATTCTGACTGGACCAGGACGCAGAAATCTTTAGTCTGATTTAAAACCTGAGTATTGACACTGGGAGTCAAACCAGAGGCACATTGCCACCAGGTGTCATCTGGTGAGATCAGGAATCCAGCTGCCATTGGATTCTGAGTAAGATTATGAAGATAGGAATAGTTGTGCAGAGGTTGGCCTAAATAGAGACCAATTCCCT